TCTACAACAAAATTAATAAAAACCTGAACATCGTACGACTCAGCCGAAAAGAAGTCACAAGAAAAATCAGTGATTGGCTTCAGCAAATTGATTACAATGAAACTGAAGGTTTACTTACGAATATATCATAACCGACACACACATACACACACTCACACATACACACACACACACACACATACACACACACACACACACACACACACACACACACAATTCCGGAAAATTAACCTAAGTAGTCCTTTTAACATTCCCTTTATATTTTATTATTTTGTTTTGGATTACAGCTCCTCCCATTTCATTCATTCACTTTCATGACATTCACTTCATTATAGAGTGACATATAATGCGACTTTGTGACATACTCCACGCTTGAATCACTGTTTTCCAAAATACAAGCTTATAGCTTAGTTTGGAGGGCAGTGTCAGTATCGATCGTAATTCACACTCGTTCATGTAATCGCCGCATTTCTGTGAATGTAATATTGTGAAATTTTGTACAATAAACAATTTTTATTTTTATTTTATTTTATTTATTTATTTATTCATCTACAAGAGAGTATAACAACCGAAATATAACTATTTGTTTTTTAAAGTGTAGAAATACTCATGCATACCTTTTGTCTAGACGATGAGCGTCAGACAGCAGGTAATGTCACGCTCTTACCGACTAAAACCACTAACTCAATCCCAAAAAACAATGAGAAGGTCACTGAGTACTCGTATGAACGAACTGCGACAACCGAAATATACCTAATATCCTTTAAGCTTATATAACATAATATATCTAAACAAACTACACATCAATCGCTATTATACGATTTCCCTAAACGTGACGTTTCCATGAGAAACGCCACGTGCTCCGAAACCGAATCAACCCACCGCCGCCGCCGTACAAGTGAATTACGGAACAATTACATAATTAAACACAATTTGGGGCCAAGAGATACACAACTGTCTCAAAACATCCGGCTTTTATACGAAAAACTGTCCGTCTAATGAAATTGGACTAGACATGGGACGAACAGCCTTAAATAGATAACATCTCAAGTAAGTTCTGAGACGAGGATAATTAGTTTAATGAACGCTCCGTATTTCGAATAAAAAGGGATTGTTTCTTCTGCTCGGGATTTATCGGACGCTGTTGAAGTACAATCGTTGCTATTTCGGTTGATTGTGATTTTATCTGTGTTCGGGAGGATGTTATGTAATTGCATCAGGAGTATTAAGGATGGATATCTCTTTGTAATGTCAAGTTTAGTTACTCAGGGTAGACAAAGCATTAGAGTTATTTATTTTAACAGTAATACTTGATACTATTTCAAAGATTTGGTGTGATAAATAATATTGCACATAACGACTCATAATTAGGACATCTGTTGGAGCTGCGGACGGGCCAGCGGGTAACGACGCTCCAGCTCAAAGCAGAAATAAGAACGGGGTGATTTGTAGTCAGTAAGAACCTGACACTCTCTCTCGGAGTCATAATCGATATTTACCCCCATCAAAAAAGGTCGAATACCTGAGCTTAAAGGTATATTAACAGTTATTCGTTGCTCATAGTTATTGCTAACATAGAATTGTAATAAATAAGTACCTAATGCTCAATTGACGACGTAGATTTCTTTAACAAGCTTGTATCTAAAATTTCTAAAGAACTTAACATACACTTGAGGTACAATTAATAGACGTACTTTAAGAACATATTTACCTACGATTTTAAGTAATATGGGGCATGTGACGTAATGTATGTTTATATAAAATTGTGTTCAATTTATTTTCTTTAGTAAATCATTCTATCGAGCTGAAGTAATTACCTAAAATGACGACGTGTGTTTACATTATAAAATCACTTTGAACCTACATCTTTGATGTCGCAAAATAAATATTTAATGGATCAGACTCATTCGATATCTTTTCCTTTCAAATATTCAGTAAATAAAGATGTAATTTAATAGGTTCCTTTTTTCTTATACATCTAATTATTAGTTATTTCATGTGTCATCTTGCTTGGGACCATTTATTACTAAACGTACCTATATAAATAAGATGATGAACATTAAATAGACATTTACTTTGATTCAGGAATTTCGAAGCGTACCATATATCTGGTGTAATCGTAGGTACAGTCAGTATTATAATAATAATAATAATAACCCCCCTACGGGGCCACCTTGACGTGGTGGGGGGGCTGAGGGAAGGCATGTACTATAAATAGGTCACTAAGAACTAGACCCACCCTTTTAATGGAGATACAAATATAACAGCCACTCACACCTCGGCGACACCCTTCCAACTAACGGTCCCAATCATCAATGCATTTGGCACAGCCACAGGCCAACATGTATTATTTTCCTAAATTTCGTTCCCTGTAATTTCCTCTATCTATTTTAACTCCCTTGACTTTTAAACTTTTCCATTCTTTTGTCGTAATATCTACTCTTGCCCATTCCTCATATAAAACAACCCCTCACATTTATGCGATGCGACTAAGAAGTAGAGTAATACCCCAGGCGGGTACCGGAGTTAACAACGATGGAGAATCCCGCCCCGGGCCTTCCAGCCCGGGCTGCCCTTCGTACTCTGGGGAGGGCACCGTATCGCAAGCTGCCCAGCCACAAGTTGTTGCAGCACGACATGTACAATCACCATCATGTTCCTCACCAACGTCATCATTATTCTCATCCATCCCCTCATCGCCAGCATCATATCTCAACGTTCAACAACCATGCTCACCTAATTCGTCTCTATCATCACTTTCATCCACTAGGGATGTTGTGCAGGAGGCTATCTCAGCCGAAATTAATGCACCCACCCAAAGTGGTCGGCGCACACGTAAAACGTGGTCTAAAAACATGAATATTTTCATAATGCGCCACTATTTCATCCTCACAGATCTCGAAACAAACACGAGAACTTACCTGACGCCATTACACATACGCTTTAATTCTGAATTCCCAGAAATGAATGCTTCAAAGCAACGAATAGGAGATCAACGCCGTGCTATTGTCCAGCGCAACTTGCTTACAAAAGAGGAAATCCAAAAAATTAAGGAAGAAGTTACACTCTTACTACAAAACCAACCTACATCATCAACACACCATACAGACAACGACCATTCGCATTCCCGTAGAATGCGATGGACTGATCACCTAAATGAAACCATTATGAGAAGCTACTATCGCTTAACAAACCTCGAAACAAACTTAACCACATACAGACCACTACTGCATCAAGACATCATCTCAAAATGCCCCTCTATCGCACATCTTTCCGCACAAAGAATTTCAGACCAACGGAGATCTATTGTTAATAACCAGCTTCTCCCCGTAGATCGATTAAACCAAATCAGAGAAGAAGTTAGAAACGAACTAGCTTCCGCAAATACTGATAATTTCAATGATACAGTATCACAACACACAATATACGAATCGTTAACACAACCCACACCAACGATTACCATGGGTGATCATAATGCAGTACAAATGTCAACAATCGCTGAAGAGGAAAACACACAAACAGGACAAAACACCATATAACTCCCTACCGAAATAATCCAACAATTAGAGGTAACGTACGTAGACCTTTACAATAAATTCAAAGACACCGACCCCACAACTAGACCATATTTACCTAAGCTAAAATCCTCGAGGAAATTAGCAGCTATTATTAGTCACCTCAATAATCATATACTACCAAAGACACTCTCCTCAGATACAGATTTTTCAACACTCCAGACTTCAATATACTGTGCAGCATACGCTGCAGCAAAATTTAATGGTGCACGAGTCAAAGATAATACTGGATACACCAGTCAACCACACAAAGTCCCTTGGTGGCAAAAACGTTTAGAACGTAGAATTAGTGATCTTAGGGCCCACATTGGGAGACTTACAGAATATGCAAAGGGCACCCGATCGGAAGCTCTAGAAATGCACATCTATAACATAAAACAAATATACAAAACTCACACACATCACGAAACGGAAAACACCGACATCATACATTTTCTAGACACCCTAAAACAAAAACTCAATACACTTGCAAATAGATTAAGAAGATATAAGGAAACAACAATTAGGAAGACACAAAATAAACAATTCTGCAATAACGAAAAATTATTCTATAGAAAATTAGCCCAACAAAACAACACATCACCAGAAAATACCACATCTCCACCTAGCCCTGAGTTCCTACAAGCCTTTTGGTCCAATATATGGTCGAACCCAATAGAACATCGGCAAAATGGATGGATCGAGGAGGATATAGAAAGGTGGAAAGATACACCCGAAATGAAATTTGATCAGGTTTCATTACACTTGCTGAAAACAGTTATCGCTAGGGCACATAATTGGAAAGCTACAGGATCCGACAATATACATAACTATTGGTACAAAAAATTAACATGCACTCACACACTACTACTCAAACATATAAACACATTCATACAGTCACCTAACTCAATGCCAAAATACATCACACGAGGCACTACATATTTGCTGCCAAAAGATCTGTCAGACACCGGTAACCCTGCTAAATATCGACCAATCACATGTCTCCAGAATATATATAAAATCATTACATCATGTATTAGTGAATCCATATACAAACACATACAGGAACACAACATATTAGCAGAAGAACAAAAAGGCTGTCGAAAGAATAGCCAGGGATGTAAAGAGCAACTCACTATTGTCGCGGTAGCCTGTAAACAAGCACTTAAGCAGAAACGCGACATTGTTACCATGTACATTGACTACAAAAAAGCTTTCGACTCTGTACCACATTCTTGGCTCATATATATTCTAAAACACTATAAAATCCACCCCGTAATCATAGACTTTTTAGAAACAATAATGCCTTATTGGAACACCAAGTTAAAAATATTCAACCCAAATCACATCATTGAAACAGAATGTATCCCAATAAAAAGAGGTACCTTCCAAGGCGATGCGCTAAGCCCCCTGTGGTTTTGCCTGGCACTTAACCCACTCTCGAACATGCTCAACAAAAATAATAGAATAGGATTCAAAATTAAATACGAATCTCAGCATACAACCCTCACTCATCTCATGTACATGGATGACATAAAATTATTCGCTAGCAACCGGAATGAAATACACACCCTCGCTGATATAACACAAACTTTTTCAAATGACATCTGCATGGAGTTTGGAATAGATAAGTGCAAAATTCAGTCAATTGTTAAGGGAATAGCAGAACCAATAGAATACGAATTAGACAACCAAGAACTAATAGAAGCTGTTGATCCTAGCGAGGGTTATAAATACCTAGGTTATTATCAGTCTACAGAAATTCACCTTAAAGACACAAAAAAACTATTACAAGAAAAACTTAGGAACAGATTACACAAGATATTACACACTCACCTTAACGCAAAAAACACCATCAAAGCGATAAACACATTCGCTATCCCGATTCTAACATACTCATTTGGTATTATCCGCTGGACTCAAACTGATCTCACAACTTTACAAAGAATAATTAATACCACTATGACTAAACACAGAAAACATCACCCTAGGTCTTGTATTCAGAGATTAACCCTGCCTAAAATTGAGGGTGGCAGAGGACTCATTGATATCACAAACCTTCATAATAATCAGATCATATTACTCAGAAAATTCTTTTACAACCGCTCACAACATTCATTATTACATAAAGCTGTATGTCAGGCAGACACATTCACACCACTCTCATTAGCAGACCGAACAAAACAAATTACAACAATTAACAAAGAACAGAAGATACAAGCTTGGCAACAGAAATCGCTCCATGGCCGACATCGTCTCGATTTAACCAATCCTATCGTTGACAAGATAGCGTCAAACGCATGGTTAAAGCGAGGCGAGCTGTTCCCCGAAACAGAAGGTTTCATGTTAGCCATTCAAGATCAAGTGATTGACACTAAGAACTACAGAAAATACATAATCCGCGATAGCATCCTTGGCAGTGACCATTGCCGGCACTGCCACAAACAACCTGAAACGATCCAACATATAACAGGGGCATGCTCATCCATCACACAAACAGACTACAAACACCGACACGACCAGGTTGCAGCTATCATACACCAAACACTCGCATTCAAACACAAACTCATAGCAGAGAAAACTCCATACTACAAGTACACACCCCAAATCATCCTAGATTCACCCGATCTTAAAATGTATTGGGACAGAACCATACTAACCGACAAAACCATACACCACAACAGACCTGATATTACACTTCACGACAAGAAAAACAAAATAGTGTATCTAATAGATATAGCCATACCTAACACACATAACCTAAGTTCGACTCACACTAACAAACTCTCTAAATATACAGACTTGACCATTGAGCTCAAATCTCAGTGGCAAGTTCACACTGTTAAGACCATTCCCATTATTATATCTAGCACAGGCGTCATTCCCAAAACACTACACACAAGTCTAAAGACCCTCGATTTACATCCCCTCACATTCACACTTCTACAGAAAGCAGTTATACTCAACACATGCAGAATAGTCCGAAAATTCTTATCAATCGATTAGATTAGATCATCACAAGTATCACCCCCAAAGTTGCTTTGACCAAAAGTCCGCAACTCTGGTGTAGTTCCCCAGAAATGGGTGAGGTTTTAACCTAAAATACAAGTATAATAATAATAATAAAACATTTATTTCAGGCATAGGAACCCATAGTAACACAACAATCACAAATTAAAGTGAGATAAGTGAGATAAAGTGAGATAAACTATTAAAGATAAATATTAAACGTTGAGGAACACATTTAGATGTTCTAAGTCGCTGTGCCATGCCGTAATAGACTTAAATCGACGATCGCTGTGCCATGTCGTAATATACATATGTATATATATCGGCGAACTTAACAAGCACCATAAGCAACATAAGATAATTATTTATTACTGGCGCTTCGATTTTGACAATTTAAACGTGTTCATCAACTTTTGATGTTGACCGTACCTACCTTATTTTAACATGTCACAAGTCTTCTTATAATTTTCAGAGTTACTTTCATTTGTACGTGGATCTCTTCTGCGATTGTTATTGTTATTTTATTGTTTGTTGTTGATTTACCTCACGTCTTTTTATCTGTCTTTTTATCCCCGAAGGGGTAGGTGCACATTACGGCAATTTATGCCACTGTACAATGTAACACCCACTTTTCACTATTTAGGTATGTTATGAGTCCCATGTAATAGTCCGTGCTACTACTGAGAATTTATAAAAAGCCCAGTAATACTTTATTACATTCATTTGATTCTAATATTTATTAGTATAAATTGATAAATTCAAATAACACTATACTCCATAACAAGCTCACAAACATGCTAGCGTTCCACCCTAAAACACGAATTAAAATTATTATTTCGAGTACTTCTCTTACATTATCGGATTATCTAGGTACCTTTTAGGCCACAGCTGTTATATTCCACGCTAAAATTACGGGGCTCTTAACTGGAGAGCTTATTACCCGACTTAGCGAAGGTGCTATTTAACAGGGGCCTTGCGATTTGTTTGTACAATTCTGTGACATTTGCCCTTCTGTATAATAGTTGTTATTATTATGCAACTAAGTCAAAATGTAATTGCTTGTTTCAAGAGATTATAAATGATTTAGTATTTCACAGTGAAAATGTTATTTACCTTACACTGAAAAAAATAAATATTATTAAAACTCCGTGCACACTTATTCCAAATTACAATAATTTTATGAATGTGCCATGTTTTTGAACTACCTATTGACATAGCTCACATTCATTACAAAATTTATAATCAAGTCTTCTTGCTTTATATACATGATTTACAGTAATTTCTAAGATAAATACAAATAAAGTAACAATAAATTATTAGACTGCTAATCTATGATACAAATACTAAATAAAAGATAAAAAATTAATGATACCAAAAATACTTTCATTGTTAAAACCTATAACTAGCAGAACGACAAACGAATACAACCTAGTATAAAAATAAATCTCTCAGAAAGAAAGGAATAACGATAAAGAATTGTAAGATTTGAAGTACACTGCTTGTTACCTCAAGCACTGTTTCAAAGTAGGACAAGTAGAAGGAGCAAAGTATAGCATTTTTATCAATGTTAACCGCATCGAATTTTCCATTGTTCCTCAGGTAGGCACCTACTTTAGTGGGAACAAATACTTGACCTTATTTTTGTGTCTTTATAACAAATTGCAGAATGGTTCCAAAAATATACTAAGTCAGTAGCGACTCTTACATACTTCGTTCGCTTCCACGTCAGTCTTTTACGCTTGCTCGTCGGTTCAGGATATTTTACATTCAGCCCTTCTTTAATACATGGCCAATCTGGTATCTAGTATCGATCAGATGATCATATGATATCTCATTCTTTAAGTTAGGGTGAGCCATGTTTCGAGTGATACCACGGCCTCACAGCAAACCGACGTGAAACAACGCTTGTGTTGTGTTTCGTCGTGTGAGTGTTTCCCAATCTCCCCAAACCCTGAATCCCCAACAATTCTCAAATTCCCAAAAGGCCGGTAACGCACTTGGAACGCAACTGGTGTTCCAGATGTCCTCAGCCGACGCCGATTGCTTACCATCAGGTGATCCGTGTGTTCGTTTACTGGATTACCCCAGAAAAAAATCTAGGCGTCCTCTACCGGCGGTCCCATTCCCCTATATACCTCCTCTTCTTTAGGTGTCATTTGTATTGCAAAATCGAAGGTGTACAGTAATATCCAGATGAAGCAGATCATAATTTCCGTTATCAGTAAATGGCTGCTCGAATGAAAAGTAAGAACACAACATTATTATTTATAATTCTAATTATTTACGATAAGGTGCATTATTAAAGAGTTCACGTACTTTTGTTATGTAGGTCGTTATACATAATTAAAGTATAAATGAAACAGAAAGAAAATTGCAGTAGGCGACCGGTAAATGGTTCCTAGGAATTAAAATCGATAAAACGGTTCAAGAAAATAATAGTGTATTTATATTTGTGTACCTATTTTATACGTTTGTGGATCTTTTTTTTTATTAACAGAGAAAGTATTATTACGATATATAATTAAATATTTGTTCTTAACTATGTACATATAACACGCATTTAATATTTATGTTTGAGGCATTTTCATCACAGGAATTACAAAAAATAATACTAAAAGGTAATGTTTTACTATGTTCACCTTACTATTATTTTTGTAAACAAGTAAAATACATGCAAATGGAATTCAGAGTCCCTGCATTCTCTTACCCGACGTCAGCCTTTAATACAATAAAAAAGCCGACGAGTAAATAGTGCACAGTGTGAAAACTAACAAACAACACGGGCCCAAAAGCACGTTTTTCAAATTCTTTCTAAAAGAGATTTTTTTTGGGGGGAAATTAAGAAAAATGCTGACAATGCCACGGGACGGAGTGGCCTTAAATAATAAAACAGTAGCGAAATAAAGCACTATAAACTATTCAAAACCATTTCAGCTACTCACGTGTCTGTTACGGTTAGTCGGCCTTTTCCGTACCTGTTGTGAGGGATAAAAAGCTCTATTCCTCTTACATATTAGGGCTAAGGTCCCTCGAGGCCGATTTGCATTCCGCAATCAGGTGAGCGACGAGGGTCTAAGATTCACACATCTCAACAATTCGGAGTTTGTTGTTGACTGATTTTGTACGGCGAAGCAAAATGTTGTTTTACAACAGCAATAAAGGCGCTGTAAGGAAAAGTTTCGGTGGGGTTTGCTTGTACTTGGAACGGAAAATAATGTATTTGTCATACTTAGACACGGTGAAGTGTTTTATTACTTGGGAATGGAAGATTACATTTCCGTGTGATGATGACATTTCTTTAACTTTAACTTGATTTAGTAGCACTATCTTCATGATTATTAGTCTTATAATTTCATTCAAATTGGCGTTCAATCTTATGAATTATAAAACTTTAGTACCGTCAGCCAAATGCAAACATGGTGCAGAAGTCTGCTGCTACTTCTTATCGTCAAACAAGCTGTCTACTGCAAGTAGACTGATCATAAAACCGGTCTTATATAGTTTTAAGAGTCTCAATTTTATTAGTGCAAAATTTGCTCTTTCGTTTTGCAGACATTTCGCAAAAATAATCTCGAGCACACATTAAAATTTTATTATTAGTGCCCGTTCTGAAATTTTGAGATAAGCCACTCGAGTACTCTTGCTGTAGAATAATTTGAAAATATGTTGTCTATTTACTACAAGTAAGATAATCGTAAAATTCTTTTGTTTATGGTGCGTGTGTTGTTTTAAATTTCGAATGTTCTCTGCAACGTATGACGTCAGAAGAAAAGACGTTAGCAATCTTATTTTGTTTTTGGCAAACTTGAATAATGGGCTCTAGGAATTAATCACAAGCTCTAGGAATGAATGAGGGTTCATTTCTCACACCCTGTATGTTTGGGCTAGCTGAAGCCTTAGATATATCGATCTCTTTCCCGCATCATTATGTTAGTTCAAGGTTAATGACCGCAAGCATTTTTCTTAATTATAAGTAATATGACAATGTATTAATAAGTCAAACAAGTGGTTTAGTAGAAGTGAATATGATATCTAAATGATATCTAAACGTATACATTTTATAGTTATACCTTTTCATCAGATATGTAGAAAGGACTCCTTTCTTGATGCACTAAAAGATATATTGCTCAACACTGAGGACGGTTCCAAACTCCTTGCCACGACTGACGGTTTGCTCGATCCGGCAATTAGAAGTTTGTCATGCTCACTCAAAGGTGTCGATAACGGCGCTGGCAATAGTCCGTCCGATTTCTCACAAAACGGTCGGATTGAGTAGTGATGGTCTAAGTTTCGGATATGTGAATGTGCGACATCGATTGAGACTTGTCGGCTCTTAATTGTCTAGTATTTTGAATGTGACTTTAAACTAAAATCTCCTAGGGCCAATTTTTCAATGCTCAGATAAAGTTTAACTGAGGAATAACTTTTAATATTTGCCAGTTCGTGCATACTAAATGCTGTCAACCGTCAATTTTAATCTACAGTTAAGAAATAACTGATTAAAAAATCGGCCCTTAGTTAACCTTAATTTCAATCCAGTGCTATATTTTCCGGTTTCTACAGTCACATTTAATTCTTAATGATAACTCATCTTGTGATAGCTCCCTCACAAATAGTTAGGCACTACAATAGACATGTTTCAAGTAGTTTCAAAGCCTTTAAAACCATTGTTATTTCTTGTACAATATTTTTGTACGTCTAAGCTGGAGATCGATAGGGCATATTGATAAACGACCGCTTAAACGTCAAGACACGCGTGCAAATATATTGCGGAGGAAATATTTCATGTTTAACGTCTCCTCCCACATTGTACACCCGGTTGCATATCAAAGTATATATATCAAGTTTATCATGGTCTACTTTTGTATAATCTTTCCGAACATTCAACGGTCAGTTTATACTGGTTTAGTATGACTTGATGTGTTATGGTGTGTACATGCTGATCTCAGATTCTTTCCTAGGACATCGTGTAAATAGCCACGACGAACAAAGTCGAA